TTGAGGTAAGGTGGCACAACAAGCAACTTGTAGTTAATTTGAGAGACAAGACTTGTATTTGTAGAAGGTGTGAGTTAACCGATATCCCTTGTGAGCATGTCATTCAAGCAATTGGTAGGGTAAAACTTAGGGTATATGATTTTGTGGTTGGTTGTTACATAACAATGCACAATGAAAGAGTCGAATGGTCCGAAGCTACAAAGCAGAAGGTCCATTCATATATATTTGCATGAAAGGAAGAGAGATTCAAATAATCTTACCCCAAACTTGCTACATCCATAGAACCTCTGCCCTGGATTTGCATCGGTCCAACTAGTCCTCAAATGTTTTGGGTACCCACAGTGACAACATTGGGGTAGACATGGCTCACATCGCCAGCCTCCAAAGTGCACTAGTTATTGAAGAGGATGAGGAAGAAGACAGAGAATGAGGGATAAGTAAAAGGAATGTGGTTTTGTCCTTTAACGGAGGACAAGAGGGTAAAGAAGACAAGAAGAAGATAGAGGTGAAAGAACAAACATGGTGGGTGAGAAGGGATTTTAATGGTGGACAAAATATTTTTTCCCACCTAAAAGGTAAAAAGTAGAGACAAAATGGGGAAAAGAGTTATTTTTTCCTCTCATTCCACGTCAGTACATAAACTGAAGCAACTAAAAAATGTATTGGTTACAGAAAAAGATGACGCAAATATGCTGAAAATTGTGTCGGTTAAATTTAGTCGACGCAAACTCGCAAGAAAACTATGTCAGGCCTTTCACCGACACAATCTCGAATGCAAAATAGATTTTTAGTGTGAGTTAAATGAAGTGACACTATACAACCGACACTAAACCCCTGTTTTCTTGTAGTGTGAGCTCGTAATTTAGATAAAGCCCATACTTTATGTTGGATGAGAACCTTAAAGCAAAGGTGTTTCCAGCCTTTTTTAACTACTAAGAGACTAAGATAATTCACACAGACATACTCAATTGATTACTCACATATCATTTGTATATAATTTTGTTAGAAGACTACTCTTAATGGTAGTAAGATAATTATACTATTTTCTCGTATTTATGTTAAGGGTTAACTATGAGTTATTATTAAGTTTTAAGACTTTGCTACGGTGACTTGCAAGTCACCGTAACTTGCACTTTTCGGTCGACCTCGTTTAGGATTAGGTCGACCTAATCTATTGTTTGTGTAAAAAAAATTCATGGTGCATACTTTGGAGATTCATATCTTACAATTGGCTCGATGGAAATTGGAGATTAATGGCTTGTTTTGAAGCTGGAGTGACTCTCTACACATTGAAGTACATGGGAGCTCGATAGAAAGTCCATAAGACCATTTTTGAACCTGATCAAAAGGCTACGCCAAAATTGGGAAACTGCTTGAAAATGTCTCTGGAAACGTGTTTGTGAAGCCTACTTTGGAGCTCAATTCGAGAAGCATGGATGAGATTCGTGTCCAGAGGCCTCTACCACATGAATGTAGGTATGTTTTTCTACAGATTAAAGACATTGGATGAAAAATTGGTTATCTAGAAGTTCACAACATTGTTTGATACGCAAAGACAACTAGAGAAGTATGGGTCGACTTGAAAGAGCAATTCAGTCAATTATTACTGATTCTGAATGGTTATCAATTAGGGTTGTAACGAGCATATCACCAAGGATACCCACTTGTTGAATGTTGAGTTATCTAGACAAGATCATCAACGTGTGAGGATTCTGAATGATGAAAGTGTTCCTGTTGAACAGATTGGCACACACAAACTTGATTTTAACTGGAAAGCATCTTGCATGTGTAAGAGTTTAAGTGCAATCTTTTGTCATTCCTCAAATGAACTCAAGATTTTCTTTTGACAAGAAATGAACTCAAGACAACGACGACACACTTATATTCTTTTGTGATTTATGCATACTCTAGGACCGTGATTGGGAAGTGGATTCCCCGTAATGGGCTCTACTACCTCAAGTTGTTTGAGAGAAAGGAGTCTTTTGTGTGTTGTTGTCGGTGGTCAACACTCTATCTCTGAGGAAGTTTGGCATCCCCGTCTTGGACATCCTTCCTTGTTAAATTTTTCTTGTTTACGTTCATTTATTTTAGTTATGTGCATCAAGGAACATGGCTTGTCTCATTCAATTCCCATGCAAAACAAAGTCTACTTCCTCTTGAGCTTAGTCGATTGAGATTTCTGATTTTTTTGAGTTAATTCATATTGACATTTGGGGTGGATACCGAACTTTGTCACTTAGCGGAGTGCATTGTTTCTTAAAAATTGTTGATGATTTTAGTCGTGGAGTTTTGGTATATCTTTTGAAGTGCAAGTCAGGTCTCTCGTTATCTCCTTATGTTCTTTGAAATGGTTGTTACACAATTTGGGAAGAAAGTTAAACGCATTTAGTTCGACAATAGTTTAGTTTCAAACTGTAGTTATGCGTGACTACTATGAGAGCTCTTATATTATTCTGCAGACTAGTTGTAACAATAATCCCCAACAAATATGGGGTTGTTAAGCGTAAACATAGGCATATCCTGGAGACTTCTAAGGCACTACGTTTTCATGCATGACTCCCCTTGCATTCTTGGGGTGAGTGTGTACTCACTACGGTCAACCTCATCAACCTATTGCCCAACATGACAACAAATAAGACACCCTACGAGCTCGCCTTTGGAAAACCTACGCCTTATTATATTCTCATCTCTGATCATTTGATCGTCTCCATTATGTTAAAGATAATCATGGGGCACTTTAGAAGTTTGCTGACATTTTTTAGGCTATGTAGGTACACAAAAAGGGTTATAAAGTGTATGATCTTCTCACTCGCAAGGTACATGTGTCGCGTGAAGTCATCTTCCATTAGACATATTTTCCTTCCCATACTCAAGACCCATAGGAGTTCCATTATGTATTGTCGCCTTTCCTTTCAAATTCAACTAATATGGATGGGTCCCTCTCAAGTCTGTTTGATGATGTCCATACCAAATAGTGCTCATCCCAAATTTCTTCATAAGACTAACCTGTTGTCGAGACTTCACCTCCTAAAGGCGATACTAAGTCGTCTTAACTTGGAGATGCCACTTTTGCTTGACAGTCTTCACCATGATCACCCTTCACTCCTATTCCTATGGCTCCTCTTAGTGAGGTCAATGAGACACCTACTCCAGCTCAGTTGTCTCCCAAAATCGGTCATGTTCCATGTCACAAATGACCTCCTCCATACCTTGATGTCTACGAAATGTACTTGCACAATGCTTCACACGTTTACTACAGGTTGTCCCACTATGTTTCTTATGAAAGTCATAGTCCTCAACATCAAGCTTTCCTTATTGTGATCGCTCGAGACATTGATCCTCAAAGCTTCTCTCAAAGCGTGAGGTATTCTTGTTGGAGGGACGATATGAACACGAAATTCATGCTCTCAAAATCAATGGAACCTGGAGCCTTGAGCTCTAATTGGTTTTTAAGATTAAATATTGACATGATGGTAGCAATGAGCAATATAAAGCTCGGTTTGTTGCAAAAGGTTACACTCAGATTGAAGGTGTGGATTACCATGATACTTTTGCTCCCATCAAACGCTTCTCGTTGTTTATGGTCCTATTATTGTAGCTTCCATTCATAGATGGTTTATTCACCAACTTGATGTGAATAACGCTTTCATCCATGTGGATCTTAAGGAAGAAGCTCACATGAATATCCCTCATGGCTTTGTTGCTAAAGGTGATAAACTGATAATCATGCTTTTCATCTCTATAAGTCTATCTATGGTCTTAAGCAGGCACCTCAAAATTGGTATAATAAATTCACATCTGCTCTGTGTTAGCTTGGTTTTCAAGCTTCTCCTGTATATCACACCTTGTTAATTTTTCACAAGGGCGCCACGTTCATTTTGGCTCTCATCTACGTCGATGACGTCCTCTTAGCCAAAAATGATTTGGATTTTATCACTCACGTCTAAAGGTTCCTCGATGATCATTCAACATCAAGCACTTGAGGCCGTTGAAGCATTTCCTTTGCCTTGAAGTTTCTAGATCTCCTTGTGGCATCATTCTCACTCAGCGAAAATATGTCTTACATATTCTTGAGGAGGCAGGGGTCCTCGATGCTCTCCCTCGTGCTTTTTTGGTTGAGCGTAATCATCAACTCACCAGATCCAACTTTAGTCCTCTTATTGATGGTTCTTCTTATCATCATTTGGCGGGTCTCTTCTTTTATCACCATCTCTCGTCCTAACATCTCCTATACGGTCAACATTTTGAGTTTCTTCGTCCATGATCCTTCGCAAGCTCATATGGATGTAGCTATTTGCACTCTATTCTATTTGAAGACGTCTCCTGATCATGTTCTTTATTTCCCAGATGACAGCCCACTTGACGTTTTCGCCAATTTGGTCGTGGAATAACCTTTCATGCAACTTTCCACTCTAGATACAAGAGTTCATGATGATCGCATATTACTATCTACTGTCTAGGGGTTGACGTTTAACCAGCTCGCCCCTAATGGTCTCAAAACCAATGTGATAATATAGTAATTGTAAGGACTTATCAATATAAAACAAAATCTTAATTGATTTACTCATTTACATATCCCAATGAGACTCAGATATACTTTTTATTATCGGATTATTATGAATACTAATGCATTAATTTTAGACAAAAAAGGAAGCGATATTGACGAGAATGGCCATTTTACTAGTTAGACTCAGATATACTTTTTATTATCGGATTATTATGAATACTAATGCATTAATTTTATACAAAAAAGGAAGCGATATTGACGAGAATGGCCATTTTACTAGTTAGCCATGTAAGTTACTTTCTAGTTCTAAGAATGAGAAAGTATTAGAGATGTTATAGAAAACAGGGTAAATTGATTATGTTAATGTTTAACAAGATGATCATTGGTTGTTGTCGCGGTGAGAAAATCATGTATTGATTGTATGCCTGAGAACATTTTTGTGATCTACTAAAAATTTTAGGATTTAACTCTATAAACTCCAAATGTATGGTTTTATCTATTTTCATGTCATTTTATGTTCATTTTAGGAAAATACATTTTTAACAAGCACATCCTCCTCCTTGTTGCTCAGCTTGAGATGAATTCACGGTAGGCTTTAGATTCACATCAACCATATCTTCTTGCTTTGTCGAAGAAAGGGTTTCCATCCCTGGCAATGCAGCAGCAATTTTGCGAAAAAGTGGCTGCAAATTTATCAAATTCATTTGTTTTCTGTTAATTCTCCCGTACACATATTCTTTTTTTGACCATTTTGTTACTAAAAATGTAAGTGTAAACGAAACCTCTTTCTTACTTTGATATTGAAACCTGCTTTTGCACTAGTCTCTATAAACATAACTCCAAAGTCTTTAGCCTTGCCATCTCCTTCCTCTATCGACACTTGCCTGGTTGGTGAATCCAATCACAAAAACAACATATCATGAACAAGATCAAAACTTGCCTATATGTTTATCTTTTATGTCTTCAAATACGGAAAGGGTGTTTCACCACTTCTCCTACCTTTTTTCAACGAGATCGGTTTTGTTGCCAACGAGCACTATGATAACATCACTCCCTCGTTCTGTTCGTACCTCTTCAATCCACCTAGAAGTATTTAAGAATGATTGCCTGTCTAGAACAATAATTAAAGAAAACATTATATAATCATGAATTTACTTGTACCGAACACGAACTTTTAATCTACCCCATTTATTTCCCTAATTTCAAGAAGGACCATGAATTTAACATGTCTTTTAGGAGCATGCTTGTAGACAAGGGAACATGTAGACCTTTCTTTGCCCAAATTAGTTGAACATTATATCTAATTTGATTAGTAAGAGAAATCGATGAACATAGTACACTTTTACTTCTCAAGTTAAAGCACAGAAGTAGGTTAGGGTTTCTTTGTACATACAAAATCTCCTCCACCCCTTCCCTTACTTTTCTATAGTGGATAGTTATTTGGCTATCTCACTATACATGAGCAATGATCTAGTCAGATGATGTATTTCATTATACGAGAATGTGTAATAAAAAGGTTAAGTTAACTCACTGGCTACGTCATATACTACGACAGCAACAGAAGAATCTCGAATATAGCTAGGAATAAGACTCCTAAATCTCTCTTGTCCAGCTGTATCCCTGTAAAAAAATAAATCAACAAATTCATATATTAACCATACGTAAAAAAAAATCACTAAAAGCTACAAAATTAAGATTAGCCCTAAGCCCATATTCGAGAATCGACTTAATATTCCTAAAAACTCAACAATCACACAACCAAAATAGTGAAAATCTTATAACAACATAAAATCATTAGTGCCTCATTCATGCTTTGAACAATTGTTGGTCATGGCACATCCAGTTTAAGTAATATTTTCAAGAATCCCAGTTGTAGAAGTTTATAATCGAGCCTCTAACTTGTTTCTTGTGTTCCATATTTAATGAGGAATCATACTCATCATAAACCATATCAATTGCATACGTCATTCTTAGAAATTAAAACAAACAACTTACCACAACTGCAATCTAACAGTTCGATCTTCGAGATACATTGTCTTTGACAAAAAGTCGATTCCAATCGTAGCCTGAAATATAAGCAACAAACTATATTCAAAATAGAGAAACAAGAAATTGGGAAAATAGCTTCTTAAGGAAAGAACAACCGTATATGTAGTGTATAGATTAATGGCAGACACTATAGACAGACAAATATAACTCAAATATAAAATAAGCGCAATAGAAAAAAGGTTATAAAAAAACCAGACCTGATAAGTGGTGTCAAACTTATCGTACATGAAGCGAGTGATGATGCTGGTTTTTCCTACGGACTGATCGCCTAAGAAGACAAGTTTGTACTTGGCGAGAGGGGACACTGTTGCCATTGTCAATCTTTGTGATTGTTCTATTCGTCTTCTTTTTTCAACCAGGAGGAAAGTAGAAAAATTATTTTTCTTTTTTTCTTTCTTTCAAGGAATTGTGTGATGGTTAAAATGTTTGATCGAGTTTGTTTGAGATCTGAATCTTCAGATGGAGAAGCAATTGAATTAGAAAAGAAAATTGATAGTTTTCTTTCTTTCTCTCCGTCTCCTTTGATGGAAAGAAAGACGAGATAAAATAGTGGAAAGAATGAGAATGAAAAAAGAGAAGGAATTTAGAAATTTAGTCACTTTGAGTTTGGTATATATAGGGGCGAGATAAAATCGCCAATTCTTCCAACATACTTGTCTTATTTATTGTACTCCTGTATTATTTCAACACTAATCTACAAGGTCGATCAAGATAAGCATCTTATTAATTTATTTATCTGATCGTAAACCTATATCTTGTTATTTTTATTTTGACTTCACATGTCTTATCTGAATATGTAAAATTGTTGTAATAGTTGCGGGGAAACCATTTATCTAGTTTATCCTAATTATTTCTACGATAAGAAAACTATAATTTCTCAATTTGGATGTAAGAGATTATTTCAAAATTCTTTCTTTTCCTAACAATATAGATTGGGGTTTGAATATGGACATTCTATCGAGCCCAATTCAACAAATTAAAAGAGTTTATTCATCTTTTCAAATTAATATTCCAGAGAGTCATATAACCACGATCCATACACAGAGCAGAGATTCAATTTAACCTCTTAACTTAAAGAACAAACTGAGTCAGTTTAACTTTGTTTGATGGGAAATTCTATAGTGCCAGTCCTAACCGGTGCCGCACATCATAACCGGCTACTGCAAGTTTGGTAAGGGTGAGAGAAACGTATTGCACTTAGAGGGGTTTTCATGGGAAAGACAATGCAGTCAAAAGCTATCTTTAAAACCTAAACTTTTACGCTTTGGACCCCTCAAAATTGTAGCTTTTTGTTAAAGAAAGCTTTATGCACTAAAAGCCCAAGTAAAAGCTCTCAAGCCTAGTAAAAGGTTTAGAAGATAGCTTTTAAACCTCATTTTTAGACTTTTGATATTCAAGTATTATGACAATATTAAAGGAGTGTGTAATTGTCTGTACCAAATCAAACCTTGAGGACCACATTCCAAAGTAAAAAAAATTGGGACCAAGGACTGGACCAACATTACGTTCGGTCCAGTGTGATCCGGTTTTGTCTGGTCTAAATATGAACCAATCTAATTTTCCTTCAGTATTTATAGAATTCATAAGACCAAGAATTAGACTGCATTATATTTCGTCAGTTTTGTCTGTTCTCGATGTTGGCTTGGTACGATGCAGTCTTCTCTGGAACAAACTGTTGCACCTGTTAGTGAATGGTATATGATCCAAGATTGAACCTCTCCTAACAACTCGAGTTATCGGGATCAACTGGTTCTTGACATGGTATCAGAGCCTTATGTGATCGAAAGGTCTTGTGTTCGAATCCCGATGACCGCCGTTTGTGAAGCACATGGTATCATGTATTCAGACCTGTGCAAACGAAATCCCTTATGAGGTGACTGGCTTTCGTTTGAGGGGGTGTGTTAGTGAATGGTATATGATCCAAGATTGAACCTCTCCCAACAACTCGAGTTATTAGGATCAACTGGTTCTTGACAGCACCGACTACCATATTGGGTCTGGTTGGTTCAAATTTTCTAGCCAAAATAGAAAAATGAAATTTTTTAAGTCGGATTATCCTTTCAGTCTTCTCTTCTACAAATTCATCATCCCTAATTCATTCCCACTTCTTCTTTCTCATTTTTTCTCTCCATCCAGATTCCTGCCGCCAACGTCCTTTCCATCCTTGCAGATCCCACCCCTATGACTACAATTTTGTTTAAGCTCATCTTCATCAACCTCCCATTTGCCACCACTTTCACTTACTAGTGAAGGTTGCCTACAACACTTCTCATATTTTTTTCTTGAAAGAAGGAGAAAAGCAGTGGATACTTGTTTAAAAGTCTATTAATTTAATTTATGTGTGTGAGAGTGGTCTTTAATATATGAGCTAGTTCGCTTATTTTTTATATATTTTTTAAAATAAAAGTTATGATTAGAAAATGTCTATCAAATTCATATAATATTAGAAAGCTTACGCTTTTACGCCTCCGCTTTTACCCATAATTTTACTTTTACATAGAATATAAACTTTGACTACATTGGCAAAACAAGTTTTTCTTTGCTTTAATTTTTTTTTTTCATATAATGTATTTTAATACTTTTTATAATTGGATTCATTGTTGGTTTGTAATATAATATGTGAGATGATCGGTACTAAACTATATTATACAAGATCTTAGAAACTCTTAATCTATAGACATCCAATGAAATTTGATCTAATGACCCACAACTAATAAAAAATAAGGAGGGTAGACTGGGAATTCTTTACCTCTCTGTCTTTTTTATTATTATTATTAACTGATACAAATCCAAATGAGAGAAGACACAATCAAACATTACTTTTTCTAATTTCCTAGTTTTCCTTAATCATGTCATATCTCACTTGTTTTAATTCGTAATTTAAAAAATTGCATAGAAATGCTTAATTATGATAAACATAATGATATTTATTATTATATATTTTGAGCAAAATAAAAATTAACTTTTCGAAACACGCTTTGGTCATAGTAGTATCACTATCATACCATCATGATATGATAGTGCCATGATGATATATCTCTTTAGTTTTAACTCAAAATCTAAAAGAAAATTATAGAAAAAACTCATTAATTATGATCTACTCAATGATATCCATTTTATTATGTTTTAAGCAAAATAATAACTATTCATTCAAAAACACATTTTGTGCTTCACTGTCATATCATGATCTTACAACTATGATACTATAGGTAACACTATCATACCACATTGTCATATCATGATATTATCACTATGATAATATGATATCATGATATAATAATATGATATCATGATATGAAAATATGATATCATGATATGAAACTGATAAGATGACATCAATTTTTGTGCTCAAAGATAAAACTTAATACTATCTTACTATTATATCATACCAATCAGGGGCGGACCTAGATAGTAAAGAGCTGTGTCGACCGACACACCTCCGCCTTAAAATTTTGTGAGTGAATTATGTTTCGTCGGTATAAAAAATTATAATTAGATACTTCCGACACGCCTCCAATAAGTACAACCGACACATCTTCCTTACATTACATGGAATTTATGAATTTATTGCTACAAAGTTACTAAAATATGTGTTATTCATTTTAATTTTTAATTAACTATAAAATTCAATTTATTTTAGTTTATTTAAAAAAATCCCACCAACAGTGCCCCCATTCTCGTTCAAGATTCCATGACTTTCTCAATTTAAGCTTCTCATCCAACTTAGCTTTTACCCAATCCGTGGGTCGGATGAATTATTATATTTATTATTTTTTTATGTTAATCATTTTGTTTATATTTTAATTTTTTTGAAATTTTTGAAATAATTTATTTACAATTTGAAATTAATTTTTGTGATATTAGTGATAATTAATTCATATTTTTATTGATCCATGTAGGTGTAAGACGACTTATTCCAAACTTGTGCAGGGAGTTTTATTCCAAATTCTTTTATTTTTATTTAACATAATTAAATTCATTCATATTATTTTAGGATATGGTCTAGTGGGGATGAGAAAATTCAAATTTGAGGTCAACGACCAACAAAAAAATTCAATCACATTTTAAAATAATTTGGGGTATTCTAAGTAGTTGATTCATGATTTCAAAGTCATTTTTGTCCTACGTGTTAATTGTGGCATTAGCGGTAATTAGTTCAAAGATATTTTAGTTGATAAAAGCATCCTAACTTATTGTTGTCTGTATATTTTTTGGTATTTTAGAAGAAAATATTGCACTTGTTGTCATCTTGAATTGCCTTGAAAGGTACTTATTTATAAGAGTCGATATCATTAACTTGATTGTCTATGAGCTCCAAACGAAACTAAGTAATTATGCAATGAAGTAGTAATTAAAAACTTTAAGGAATTTATCAATTGGTATAATATGGAAGGATAAAAATCACCAAATACTGTGTTCAAAATTGATGGTCAACAATCATATAAAAATGTGTGAGAAAGTAAAATTGTTGTCGTTCATTAGTATGTCTTTGATTTGCATGCATCAAAACTAATCTAGATAGTGTTATTCTCTATAAAATAACTTGCTCTCGATCCACCAATCCTCTAGGTTGTTACCCCCCACCTAATCTTTGCCCTAACCCTGTCCATAGCCAGCTCATCTGCTTCTCCCGCCTTGTTGAAACCCCAACAGTAGTGGCCTCTACGATCTTAGTCTCGCTTATGCCCGAGCATAATCGTAGTTGGTTTTTGTATCAAAGTTTTTTATAAGGAATTAACCTATATACATGTTAAATAAAGGCAAGTATTACAAAAATGTGACTTAGATTGAGTTCACTTATAGTTTGTCGGTTATAGTTTCGTTTATCGAAATCATTCTCCACCCAAGTTCCCATCATCATGTTCAGATTCTACTGACAAACAATAGCCCATAGCTCACTTAGCTAACAGTCGGGACTAACATGTATCTAGTCCATTTTAGGATGGTCTTTTCTTTCCATCAACTTCATCATCTGTGTGATGAATATCTCCCACTATTTTGTCGAGATAATTTTTTTGTAAGCAACCTTCTTGGCTGCTACATCATTAAAATAATAAATTCCACATAGTTTCTGCCGCACACACAATGACAAGATATTGGTGTCACAAAGTGACAGAACTGCAAGCTGGTGGCATAAGCAACATAGATAGATGAAACCTGCAATGGTAAAAAAAACAGTACATGCAGTTAGCTACCATTATCACACAGAAAGTCCTGCTTTTTTTGAATTTCAAATTCCATACTCATTTGACAACGACAACCAAAACTGTGTTTATGGATACATCAATTTGATTAAGGTGAAGCCCTGCCACCTACTAGAAGACCCTACATACTTGTTCTTACAAACCACCAGAGGATAAAAAAAACCTACCACTCTGAACTCGAAAAGAAACAAACTAAGAGCACATAATAAGCAAGACATCCCAGCTACAATAAGCACTACAAAAACGTTTTATGTAAGGCACCATGCAGATCTTCTGAGCCTGTCAAATTGCCTAATCTGTCTACTAATATGAACTGGAATGTTCACTGAAAAACTGCCAACAATATAGCGCACCTTACTCTCCACACAGAGGAAATGATTACAGGGAACGATAAGCTGCCCACCCTTGATGCAGTACAAAAATAGCAATGAAATGCACATGATAAATTCGTCTGCATCCCTCTTCTAAACGAGGTTAAAACGGACAAGTGGGAGTCTTCTTCACTTAAGGAGGATTGAAAAGCACAATAGATCGAGAACTCCACAAAGCAAAACATTCGATAAGTGATAATTCTTTCTATCGTTTCAATTTTATCGGATGTTCCTTGAAGGATTAATAAGTAATAATATGTGCATCCTTTTTAAAGAAAAAACCGACGGTAGCCGGTTATATGCGACAATAGTACATGGCCGACATAGCAGAATTCCTCTTGTTTGAGATCATGTTTTTTTTAGTTTTTGGAACCTTAAGCCCAAAATTGTCGACGACCTTTCCTCCCATCATTCTGACCTAATAGGTAGGGATAGGATGAGGTGACTAAGGGGGATGACTTAGTCACTAGACTAATTCAATCCCGATCCTCCATTTAAATTATGATCTAATGACTCTAGTTAGTCTCATTTAATGAAGGGTAAGATGATAATTAATAAATTATTTTATTTATCAATTAAAACAATAAAAATATAATGGGCCCGCTGGAATTTTTTTCCTTCCTCCAGCGGCTTTGTAATGTTTGTCGGTTTGATGTTTGTCATTTTTGTCTACTTTGTAATGTTTACATAATTAGAAACAACTTGGTTGATTAGAAACAAAAATAAGCAATGGTAAAGAAATGACGGCTGAGAAGTGGTAGATGAGAGAGAAAATGAAAATAAATAAAAATAAAGTAATTTTTCATAATACAAAAGTTACCCCTATCACTGTTTAAAAAACTCTTCCCATTTTTAACAACTAGATTAGTTTGTCTAGAATTAAGGGTTAGGACGGGTTTAGTGAAGTGACTAAGGACCCCTTTACCTTTAGTCACTTGATCTGGACTCCAATAGATAGGGGGTTCAAATGGTTACCATGGTAATTACCAAACCAAACAAGGCAAAATTCTATTAACTTACCATGGAATACAATATCATAACCAAACCGTCCAAACTAATACAACAACCAAATTAACCTAACTAAATTTTAATCGGTTTGGTTAATTGGTTAACCAGATTAACCAATATAACATCACATTATCATTAAGTGAGAAACTTTTCGATTATGCATCAATTCACAATTTATATGATGAATAAAACATTACATTGAACACATAGTTATAGTTATCCTTTAGATAAATACATGCAACTAATACTATTATCTTACTCTCAATAGAAGTATTCACCTAACAAAAGTATATGTCAATAGTATGGAGTTAATTAATTGTTCTGATGGTGTGAATTGTATTAGTCTCTTAACAATCATCATAGATTGAAAAAGACATTTCTTTCAAGTTTTCATCAAATATATTGTATTAGTTTTATCTAAATTGGGCGTTCACATATCATGGTCTACACTCTACAAATACAAATATACAGTATATGAACTATATTGAGCTTTATTGTTGATGAGCCTATAAGGAAGAATGTTGGCTCTTGAGTGGTTATGCCAAGTATTAAGTATGCATATATAAAATATATTCGATATATGAATAATTACTTAATTGGTTAATTTGGTTTGACTTGTTAGTATTGTCTGAAACCAAACCAAACCACCTAAACCAAACAAGCTAAATTTTTTAACCAAATCAAACAAATTATCCAAATTAACCACACCAAATTAGCCAAATACTACCAATTCCAAAGTCCCTTTCTCTTAGCGACCCCACCCTCTTGGCTCGACCTCCTCGGCCCTCGCTTACACTAGCCGCCTCCCCCAATCCTCCTTCCACCGCTGACAACCTTTGTTGCTCTCACGGGTAGAGACAACTGTACTACAAAGATTATATTCTTTTGAGTCTAGTCGATCAGATATTGACATTTTGTCCTAAGAACCAATGGGTAAATAATCTCAAGAACCGCTTAGTTCCAATAATTCGAGCCGTTGAAAAAATTGTAATTATATATCTTATATCACTCTCTTACACATATTCTCAAACGAAAGCCAACTCACAGGATTGAATTGTGTACATACACACAATACATTGTCCTCAATTATATGCCAATGTTGGGGTTATGGATATTCAAACACACAAACAACTATGTTATCATGTCATAAATCAGTTGGTTTCAATTAGTGGCAGAACCAAAATCTTGACGGGGTGTTTTAAAAAATATCAACTCAATGGATTTGAAATGTGGTAATTGGAGAGGGGGTTAAAGCCTTAGCAATGACCTTATTTTTCAAATTTGTTATTAAAGTTAATTATAATTTTACCTACTTTTTGAAAGTTACACTGGTTTCAAATGGGTTCTTGACATGTTCAGAGACTATGATGACCGAGATGTCTATGTTCGAAATTCCAGTGACCTCCATGTGTTAAGCACATGGTATTCAGACTTGTGTATGTGTCAACCTTATATGAGTTGACTTTCATTTGAAAGAGCTTAAGTAAACTGTATAAGATTTATAATTGAAACTCTTTCAACAACTCGAATTGTTGTTACTAAATAACCAAAAAACTCGACAATTTTGGGAAGAAATGTATGATTAAGGTTCAAATCAGGAGCCACTGTTTTTTTAAGGGTGGTCAACCCTGTAAGAGTTTTCACCATGGTTGTCACGCTAGTGGAATGACAACCAATTTTTTTATCATAACACTGACGTGATCACTATCAATATGATCGATTTATGACCTATGACTAAAATAATGTCGTTTCAATGAATCTAATTAATAAAAAAAATTAATTTGTGATTTATGTCATGATTTATAAGTTAGACGTTGATGTTGTTTTTTTTAATTCAAGTAATAAAGTTTGGGTGTTGACGTTAAATGTTGTATATAAATGTAAGGTAATGAATGGTATACTCCAGTAGTATAGTGTACTCCAAGTGATCTGACCGTTGGATCTAATTCGATGGGCTTCGATCAATCTCAATTGTCGATTATTATTTTGCATTAAATTGAACCTCGGGTTTGAGTTTAGAGAATAAGAGCCTGAGGTTTATCCAATAGAGGTTAGAGTATAGTATCATATCTCAAACTCGGTTTAATTCATGGTCTAGATAGAGATATCTCACTAGGAGTACCTGAAGTATAGTATACTCTAGGAGTACACCAATCTGACTCATAAATATAAATTTTTGTTATTTTGTTTGGAATGTTGTATTTTATTTAAATATGAATATAGTAAATTATCTTCAAATATGTTTTATATATACTTAAATTCAATTGACCTTAATAGTTTTTATATTTTATTAAATTGGCATAACTAACACAAACTGGTTGTACCACTAGCCGAATCATATCACTTATTAAACCGACACAACAATAAAAATCGGTTTGACAACCTTGATTTTCACATTCGAAGTTATCGTTTCCCCAGGTTGTGGGTCGAAGCCCGAACCGTGTCTACCAACCGAACCCACTAAAAGTGAAAACTCAAAATCAAGGTTGTTAACCTGATGGTCGAACCGGTTTGACCCAGATCCGTCCATAAAAACGAGCTTCACAGACCTAGTGATCCTTCAGCCAGACCCGGTCACACCCGGCTGACCTGGACGGTTGGCACGAGCGACCGGGTCAGCGGGCTGTGCATTATGTGTCATCGTTTCGCGTGGGCCAAGTGATTGTTCTGCTGTGCGAGTTGGATAACTAGAGGCTAGGGATGGTAATGGGGCGGGTTTGCCTAAACCATCCCCATTCCCGCTTTCAAATATCCAAACCCATACCCGCCCCATACCCATGCGGGGGAAAGATTTGCAAACCCATTCCCATACCCGTGGGTTTCGGGTACCCATGGGTAATACCCGCCCCATACATCCTACATTATAATAGCTAAAATTTTACATACAAAAATTTCAATTATAATACTAAACGCACCTACTATTTCATAAAGTCGACAAAGAGACAATCATTCTTAATACTATTCTAAACATCTTATTCTAAAACATCCAATAATCCATAAGATAGAGTAACAATATAAGCCAAATCATTATTCTCTGACTTTGGTACATCTATTAAGTAATAAATAACTTACTAACATAACGTTGTAACACATGAGGGAAAAAGTCAAAGAATGAAGGAAGATTTGGAGGAAATGAATTATGTTTTGATTTAGGTGGTCACTCAATTGTATTTCTACTATTTATTTTCATGAGTTACCCTTGCTATTAATGATAGATTACAATTTAATTAATGTACATTTTATATGTGAAGAAATGTTTTTGGTGGGGCGGGTATAGAGGTCCGGAGAGGCTAAACCCATACCCGCCCCATACCCATCAAACATTTTGCGGGTTTTACCCATACCCGCCCCATACACGGTCAATGCGGGGATTCCCCGCGTTGACTGGGCCGGAGGCGGTGGGATACCCGAGACCATGGGTTTGATTGCTATCCATACCGGAGGCTGGTGCGGAAGGTTCGTTTGAAAATTGGAATTTGGAGAGAGCAGGAGAGTCCCAAAACCTAGCCCCCTGCGTTCTGCCGTTCTCCCTTCTCCGTCTCGCCAGAATCCGGCCGACTTAGCCCTACACGAGACCGCAGGCCGCCGCCTGCGTTCTCCCTTCTCCGTCTTCGCCCGCATCCCGCAGCAGTGCTTCTACCCGAGTCGGCGACCTCCCACGGCTCCAGCTCCAGCGGCAATCGACGACCTTCCCTCCGCCTCAGCTTCCGCTCGCGATTCGCGAAGGAACGAGTCCGCCGGTGACCTCCCTCGGCTCCAGCTCCAGCGGCATTTGACGACCTCCCTTGGTTTAGTCCGCCTCAGCTCCAGCTCGCGATTCGCGAAGGACCAGTCCTTGCCGAGCTGCTCTGCCTCCCTGGTTCACTCTGCCTTTCCCTGCCTCCCAGTCGGCCATTGCCTTCCCCTGCTAGCGATTCGTGACTCTCTCTTGTATTCATTATTACGATAGGAAGCAGCTGCGCCTCGCATTGCTGAATAAGACCCTGGCTTTCCCTGTTTTATTCGGTTAGTAAAGGCTGATTTTTGTTGTTGCTCTGGCTCTGCATTTGCACTTTGGACCTGGGTTTCTTGTCTTCCTTTTATTCTTCTTCCTCCTTATTCAGATGCTTACTTCCAAACTTTTCTTTGCACCCATAGATGACGGCAGTAGCGCACATTTCATTCGGATTATTGCCCAAGGTTACTTTGTTTGGTGATAGAACGCCAGCAAAAGCTGGATGCTTTCTACGGAGGCGCCGCTCTTCTTCTCTAGTGGTATTAGCCATGTCCACCAGCAGCAACAGCGGTGTCCCAATCATGGTATGCCTATTTTATTATTGACTGTTCCTTCTTAGGTTTATTGAACACTTAATCTTAACGTCTGAGGACCGTGGCTCTGTTTACTAGTTGTTAGATCCATTGGAAAACTTCGTGTGTGTATTCAAGGTAGAGCTGGATTCTAAACATAATCTGACTGTGCCCTTCCGGGATTCCGATGCCTGTGCCCAAGTGACAATTTTGCTTGTCCTGGTCTTACGAAATCCTGCAATTTTAATTAAAGCAAATTCCAATTTCAGGTAAATAGCTGTAGTGGAAACATGGGGAAGGCTGTCATTAAAGCAGCAGATTCAGCTGGGCTTCAAATTCTTCCCTTATCATTTGGCTCGGCAGAGGAGTCTGGACATGTCATAGAAGTTTGTGGTAGAAGTATTGAGATTCATGGTCCTTCCACACGAGAGGCTGCCCTTGCCTCTACCTACGATGAACATCCAAATATGATTGTCGTTGACTATACAATTCCTGGTGCAGTGAATGGTATCACACGCCTACTTGTGATTTCAAAAGTTCATTTCTAAAAGAAAACTATATACGACATTGCTAGAACAATCACGTTTGTCCCATTGTTATAGTTTCAGTTTGCTGAATCCCTTTGGATGATAAACGTTTGAGATTTGCAGATAATGCGGAGACCTATTGCAAGGTTGGTGTGCCTTTCGTTATCGGAACCACAGGTGGAGACAGGGATAGATTGTACAAGACTGTTGAGGATTCAAAAAATTATGCTGTGATATCCCCTCAAATGGGGAAACAGGTGATTTTGAGTTCCATATCTACTTTACTGAAATATATGCATGTACCCTTTTAGCATGTCATGGTAAAGGGATATTTGTGGCAGGTAGTTGCGTTTCTTGATGCTATGGAGACTATGGCTGAAAGGTCACCCGGTGCTTTTTCTGGCTATAAGCTTCAGGTATGCCTTCTTTTATGTTCAATTTGGTAGAATCAGTTGCTTGGTTCTGGCCAGAATCGCAATCGTCTGCAGTTGTACTCCTGTTCTTTGGAGAAGTTCGCTTCAAGGCTTTAGGTCATGATCAATATGATATGAAGAATAGTGGTCCAGTTCTCATTATAAAAATAAAATAAAAAAAGAATAGTGGTCCAATTCTTCAGGCCATTTTTTGTCACCCCATAATGAAATAGTGCCAAAGCATGTTTTTCCAATAGGGTTGTAGGAAGTTGCACATCTTCCAATTGAGACATTCATTTGTTGGTTTCCACTTTTCATTTATCATATCCATGGAAATATGATCATAAATTCTACAAAAGAAAAAAATGAAATTTGTTCATAATGGTTGTACATATTGATCCTGAAATTTAACTTTCAAGATTCTGTTATTAATGCATGATTTGTTCCTTGGATATAACAATACTACTCTCCTCTCTTTATCAGGACAGATGAAACTCAACTAGCTCTTACATCTTCCCTTAATGCAATTTTCTTGCAGTGGCTCGAATCTAACTTGCAACCCATGTCATTGCATTCAGGTGATGGAGTCTCACCAAGCAGGAAAGTTGGATGTCTCTGGAACTGCTAAGGCTGTAATATCTTGCTTCCAGAAACTGGGAGTGTCATTCGATATGAATGATGTATGCTAATCAACTTGTTTAAACTACGTTTCACTTTCATTGCGCTGCCTCTTTAGTAACAAATGGATTACAGAAAGTCAATAAGCATCAAGCAGTCTGAGAGGAATCTTTTGTCTTGACCTTTCTTCAGGTACAATTGATTAGAGACCCGAACCAACAAGTTGAGATGGTAGGAGTTCCTGAGGAGTATCTGTCTGGTCACGCTTTCCACATGTATCATCTGACTTCACCTGATGAGACGTAATTCTTTGCTCCCTCTCATATCTACTCTCCATGTGCTCTACTTTTTGTTATCTCGTCTAAGGATAAACTAAAACATGGTTTCTTTCAAATGCAGAGTTTCCTTTGAGTTTCAACATAACGTATGCGGTAGGTCGATATATGCAGAGGGTACTGTTGATGCCATCATCTTCTTGTCAAAGAAGGTTTGTAAATATAATTATGTTACGGAGAGGTGATTTGAACAAAGTAAAACTCTTGATTGCTTACTTTTGCCCTGGGTTTTTGAAACTCTAGGTTATGTTGAAGGCAGAGAAGCGGATCTACAATATGATTGACGTACTGAGAGAGGGTAACATGAGATAGACTGTTTGGATAGCGGAAGGAATAGTTTAGTTAGTCTAGCTTCCTCTCTGAAGTTTTGATCCGCACCAATGAAGAACTGATGTTAACCAACGTTGTAATGAGGAAATGCATCCCCAAGATTGAAGGCATGCGCAGAGCTATTTCAAGCTTGAAGCTGCGGCAGGCATGGAGGCTATTGGTGATTTAGACTTTTAGCATTACAAATTCAGAATCTGGAGTCAAGACATTTGTTGGATATTCTTCTTTGTTTTGGCGATGGTGAACTTTTCAGGCAATAAGATGTTGGAGTGTACAATAGAATTGTCAATTCAGAATGGAGGAAGTCAAGAAACAGTTCGAATTTTTAGTATTTCAGTGCCAATCAATCCTTGATTTTGGGTCTTTCATGCGCAAACAGATCGTTTTATTTTCCTTTCCGAATCTTGAATGCTGATCACATCCTCATAAACAACCAACAAGATGACCAATAATGGGATACATGCGTATAGGACAGCTAGATGTCACCACCAATTTCAGTTTTTTCTTTTACAAGTTTTAAGTGTCAATGGTTGCGACTTGCGAATATGCAAAGTCATTAGCTACCGTAAATGGCTTCAAATCACACCTGGCTCTAGTTCAACTCGTTTAGTGTGCTCAAAACTAGTTATGTAATCACTTACAAATTATATCTGCTACGAATATAGCTAAGTAAAACTCAATTCAAATTTGACTTGTTTATTGACGAGTTAGAGATTGCGAGCCATCTGAGTGTTCAACGAATATACCTGCTACGTTTAGTTGTAGTCCTAGATGAGATTACTGAATTGATACACAATGTTATCGATACACAAAACACAACATAGCTGCTATGCTATCATTGGCTTATCAGCGACATTAATGACTTCCAGAGCAGACTAATTCTTTTCCAGCTGTGCCAACCTTGGAGCTTCAAAGTGGAATATGAGAGACCATAGCAGCCTAGGCCACAGTTCGCCAAGTCCCCACCTGTGTTTCTGTGTTCTGGATTACGATTATGGATGGGGGATTGCAGCCCTCTACTGAATAAAAACCATTGGCTAAAAGCTTGGAAACGTGGCAACTGTGAATTGACAAATCACAAACATTCCCTCTACCTAAGCCCCAACCTGATTGCACTAATGGGTGATCCCTATCAAACCCTTTCACCTTCAAATAATTCTCCCTCTCCCACTCTCTCTCTGCCCCTGCTACTGTGCAAGTACAGGGACAGGAAGAGTTGAAAAGAAGACTCAACGACTCACTTGGCCCAACACTTCAATTGCAGCCACTGGTTTGCATTTCACATTTATGAGGGATCGATCATTCATTCTTCTTTCCCCACAGTTGTGATTCAGGAAACCAAGGATCATCCATCCTTCATCCATCCACCTGCATTATATAAATACAACATTGTTATAGTATGGATGACTACACTGCTGCTAGAGGAGGGTGGTGGGTTCAGCAGCTATACCCTCATCAACAAGCCTTCTTCACCATCACAACGATGAACAGCGCCAAACTCACCTCCCTGCCACTCGTTCGAAGCCAAAGCTCCTCTTCCTCCTCGGCCTCAGGCAGCAATTCCGAGGATGATGGTCCTCAGCAGCAGCAGCAGCAGCAGCAGCGACAGCAGAGCATAGTGGTTCCGTCCAATGGCATCGCTGCTGCGCTAACTGAGGCTATGGATAACAAAGATCAGATATGGTAGGGAACAGCAAAACCAACTAAACATAACTCTTTTTTCGAAGTCTCGGCTTCTATAGCGTGCTCCCAGTAAACTAAAGCAGCGCATCGTCATCTGTTTTACAATCTTTCCATTTGTTTCTCTCACTCAACCCATACAATTCAGTCCTTTCTAATCGTCCAAACTCATGCAGGTCTATCACTCCTCAAATCCCAGCAGATTTATCAGTTCAAGTGCAAGATGCTACATTCACTGTTCACAAGGTAAATTCATTCAACTTCGGAAACTACAAATTAGCAACACTTGGTCATGGCTATGCATAATCATACCACCTCCATATCTCTCTATCACCATCTTTCCTACCGTTATGCAACAACAACGAATACTTACATGCAAATGAAGTTATCAGAGATTCAATTAGGCCTGGAAAGGATCTCAAATTATAAGCAACATTTAGGTTCACCACTCTTGTGCCCCTAATGCCACCACCAACTTTGTAAGCCTTCCGCATGATAAACACAGTGTATTAGCATATATATTATATACCATACAGAGAAGATCCTGTCGTCTTTGAAGGTAAGAAAGCCACAAGCTTAACATGATTATTTACTGTTAGATTGGACACATATTTTACCTAAATTACTCACTTAAACTAAGTCTTTTCTGCAAAACAGTACCCCTTGGTATCAAAATGCGGCTACATAGGGCGGCTCGAACTTCAGCCTTCAATTTCAAACTTTCCCTATGAAGTCAAGCTCGATAACTTCCCAGGAGGACCAGAAGCATTCGACGCCGTTCTAAAATTCTGTTATGGCCTTCCCCTAGATTTGAACCCTCAGAATATAGCTCAACTTAGGTGTGCATCAGAGTACCTAGAAATGAGTGAAGAGCTTGAAGATGGGAATCTAGTCACAAAGACAGAAGCTTTCCTCACATTCGTCATTCTCTCTTCATGGAGAGACACAATCACCGTCCTCAAATCCTGTGATGCCCTATCTCCATGGGTAGAAAATCTGCAAATTGTTAGGAGATGCTGCGACTCGATTGCATGGAAGGCTTCAAGAGACAATTTGACAACTACTGGGGAACCAGCAACAGCTAGTGACGATGCATGGTGGCTGGATGATGTGGCTACCCTCCGCATCGATCATTTCATAAGGGTCATAACAGCAATTAGGGCAAAGGGAGCAAACCCAGAGGTAATTGGCAAGTGTATAATGCGCTATGCATCAAGATGGTTATCAGGAATGGATGATGAATTAGAAGATGTAAGAGGCTATGCAAACCAGGGAAAGAATGGGTTGCAGTTCAGTGTACTAAGTGGGAGGAGAAAGGAAGATCAGAGTGCTGGAAGCAACAAGGAGAAGAAGGCTATCATTGAGAACCTAATAAGCATCTTGCCTCCTAAAAAAGAAGCTGTACCATGTAGATTTTTATTGGAGATGTTGAAGATGAGTATTGTTTATTCTGTATCGCCAGCTTTGATCTCACAGCTAGAGAAGAGAGTTGGGATGACGTTAGAGACGGCCACTGTGAAGGATTTGCTGATCCCTAATTACAAAAATGAAGATCAAGGGAAGCTACTAAAGTAAGTTATCCTCACACCATTTTCCTTGTTCCCTAATGATAAATATATTATTGATGGACTCTACACTAATTCACATTACTTGTTGCACAGATCACCTGACCAACAACGCACAATGCACAACCTAGATGTGGTACATAGAATCATAGAGTATTTCTTGATGCATGAACAGGATCAGCAGCAACTACAACCAACGCCAGGGAAATCAAGTGTCAGTAAGCTTCTAGACAGCTATCTAGCTGAAATTGCCAAGGATCCGAATGTATCTGTCATCCAATTTCAGGTCTTGGCTGAAGCACTGCCAGAAAATGCTAGAGCATGCCATGATGGCCTGTATAGGGCCATTGACACCTATCTAAAGGTTCCTTACTCTTTCACTTTCTTTTAGTTTGTAAGACGACCAAACAACATATAATCATACAAAAAGAAATTTTGCTTTCCTTTTCCAGACTCATCCTTCACTCTCAGAGCATGATCGTAAAAGGGTTTCCAAACTAATGATTTGTGAGAAACTATCCATGGATGCCTGCATGCATGCAGCACAAAATGAAAGGTTGCCTCTAAGAACCGCAATTCAGGTATTTTCTAAAATCCTACTAGATACTTAATATTAGAAATGAATAAAAGTAAGAGAGTGAGGGCAGCAATGCAAAGAGTGTTTTTGCAGGTTCTGTTCTCTGAGCAGATAAAATTGAGGGCAGCAATGCAAAGAAAAGAGTCAGCAGCAGAGAGTGGCAATATTTCAGAACAGGAGACACACCAAACAGAAACAAAATCGGAGATCATGACACTTAAAGCAGAACTGGAGAATGTTAAGACACGAATGGCAGAGTTACAGAAGGACTACGTGGAACTGCAGCTCGACTATGCTAGGTTAAACAACAAGCAGAAACAGACAGTATCTTGGAACTTGGGTTGGAAGAGAATAAGGCCATCCTCTCTTTTCCAGAGGAAAGCAGATGGGGAAGAAATAGAAGAAGGAAGGAAGAGATCCAATTCCACAAGCCGTAAACCCAGCTTGAGAAGAAGAATGTCCGTTTCCTAGAATTTGAAGCAACATGCCAAACATGCAGAATGTAACTGCAACCAGAGGCTCAAAAGTAATTTACTGTCTAATATGAACTCAATTCGACCCATTTGGTTCTTCTGAAGGGGAATGGTTAGCTAAAAGTATCAAATTGGGTCATCATTTGAATGTAATCATTTGAGTCATGCCACATAATATGGCCAATGCTATTGCTTCTGTAGTGCTAGATTAAGCCCAAATTCAGTTTGAGAGAATGATGATGGTCATTGCAGTTCGCCACATTTCCATGGTGTCAAGCATCAATCAAACAGCAGGCTATCATATGGCCAGATAATCGAGTGAATTCATATCAAGATTCCAGTAAGAAAACAAAGAAAACCCCTAGAAGAAACAGCAATTCATGGCAAAAACTAATTTTATTCATACGCCTTTAATCGCACTAAGAACTTCCCGACAATTAAGTTCAAGAAACCCTACCGAAATGAGGTAACAAAACATACCAAACTCCTACCTACCTAGAAGTCCTCATGCTGCTCCAAGGGAACTTGAGCTTCTCCGCCGTGGCATCACCACGACGCCCCTTGTACCCTCCACCGCCACCGCGGCCGCTCACATCCCGATCCTTCTCCTCTCTTCTCCCGTCGAGCCAATGCTTCTTCCCACCACCATCCTCCACGACTTCCCCAGACCTCTGCTGCTTATTCATCCTCTCCTTCTCCTGCTCGACAACCTTCAGCGGGAACAAATCGGGAGATATGGAGAGCGGGGTTTTGAGGGTGACGTAGGCCTTCTTGTAGTCAGGCTTGGCGAACAGAATCCCGCCGCGCTTCTTCTTCTTTCCCTCCATGTTGAGCGTGCGGACCTTGTCGACGTCGAAGCCGTAGAGCGACTCCAAGACACGCTTGATTTCGATTTTGGAAGCGGAAGGGACGGTTTTGAGTGCGATCTCGTTGATGTTCTCGTAGGTCTTGGGCATTAGAAGCTTGATCGGAAGGTTTGCAAAGTGAATCACTCTTCTCCCCAACCTGCTCCCCATTTCTTCCTCTTCTTCCCGCCGCTTCTTCTTCTCCCAACGGCGAGTGTCGCTTGCTTTGTGTTCTAGGCTTCTAGCTGAGCTGAGCGGCTATGGCGGAAATACTAGGGAGGGAAAGGGATTCCGGTAGGAAGGAGTGGCGGAAGTAGAAATTGGGCCTTGGCCCAGTTCAAATTGGGCCTACCAATTGAGTGTCGTTGTGGCTTTTGCGCGGAATCACTCAAGCCCACTGGGGGAGTAAAAGCGGTTATTTTCAGTTACTTTTACTTACCCAGTGGAGAGCAGAAGGGAAAGAAAGATTATGATAAAAAAGCGAAAAGGACCTCAATTCCGAATTCATTCTTCTTTCCGCCATTCCCACCGCTGTAATCTGCATCCTTGCCCGTTGCCAACCTCTTGCAGGAGAGAAAGACAAGGGAGGACCAACTTGATGGCGGGGAGAGTGATAACGGTGGCGCAGGATGGCACCGGCGACTTCACCACCGTGCAGGCAGCGGTGGACATTGTCCCGTTCGGGAACAACTTCCGAACAGTAATCCGTGTTGGCCCAGGAGTTTACAGGCAGCCTGTGTACGTTCCCAAGACCAAAAATTTCATAACCCTGGCCGGTTTGCGGCCGGAGGATACCGTACTTACCTGGAACAACAGCGTCTCCAGAATCGATCACCACCAGGTACAAGCCGAAATTTGCAAAACATCCCCTAATTGATAAACCTTTCATTTTCTAATCCTGGTGCTTTGGTTGCAGGGGGAAAGGTTGATTGGGACGGGGACTTTCGGTTGTGGGAGTGTGATTGTGGAAGGAGAAGATTTCATTGCTGAGAACGTCACTTTTGAGAACTCCTGCCCAGAGGTAATGCTGTTTCCAACTGAACTCTCATGTCATTCTGTTTTTTGTCTAGGTTTACTTAGTTACGGATAATATCAGTGGGGGGTTTTGGTTGAGGTATAGAGAGTGGAGCTTTTAACTTGAGGGGTTTTGATTAGGCTCTTCTAGGTTCAAAATGTTCTATGCTCAGTTAATCAAATCGTTGTTTTAGCTAGCTTTAGTTTAGAATCTTTTGGTCTCAAATTGCACATGATTATGAGGGTTTGTTTAGCGAAGCTGAAAGTGAACCTTTCTGCTATGTTTGATGATTTATGCTTGAAGTTCTTCAGGTGTTCGTTTAGTCTAGGTTCGTTTATTCTATATCTATCTTTTGTTATCAGGGTTCAGGCCAAGCTGTGGCACTCAGAGTAACAGCTGATCGATGTGCCTTCTACAATTGCAGGTTTCTTGGCTGGCAGGTGGGTCAGAGTCACTCTCTCGTTTTTTATGTGGTTGTGGAAGATATCCTAAAGTTTTAAACTTTTACCTCCAATTAATTATGCGTAAATAAGTACGATTTCGCCGGCATATTTGTGCAGGACACACTGTATTTGCATTATGGGAAACAGTACCTGAAGGATTGCTATATTGAAGGAAGCGTGGACTTCATTTTCGGAAACAGCACTGCGCTCCTTGAACATTGCCATATCCACTGCAAATCAGAAGGCTTTATTACTGCACAGGGACGAAAATCTTCTCAAGAGACAACTGGTTATGTGTTTTTGAGGTGTGTAGTTCACTGTTTATAAAATCTTTTCTCTGTGGTGTTAAGTGTTAACATCTCTGCATTGGCTGAGGTCCCTAATCATTCTATTATGTCGAATGTGTAGTTCATATTTCTCTTTTTATCATGAAGTGCCGAACTCTAGAGACCAAGCAAGTCAAATCATTGTGTGTGGTTTGAATTGGTATAAACAGGCATTTTAACATTCTGCTGTTGTAGAATGGACCTACTCAGCACTTGGTTTCATGCTAGGTGCTCACTTTCTGCCAGATTTGCTGCATAATTTTAAGTTTCAAATTTCAACATATGAGACAAGGTACAGGGGTCTCACTTGCCATAAGCTTGTATTGGTAGCAGCTGCTATCACTGAACCATATGTCTCACCATGACGTCACTCGTGCCTTGGGTATATTGGTCTCTCCGTGTCAAATCTCTGTCTTTATGCAGATGTGTGATCACTGGGAATGGTAAGGCATCATACATGTATCTTGGGAGACCATGGGGCCCCTTTGGAAGGGTAGTTTTTGCATACACTTACATGGATCAATGCATCATACACACGGGGTGGAACAATTGGGACAAAGCCGAGAATGAGAGAAGTTCTTGCTTTTATGAATACAGGTAGACCCCCATAAGTTTTCTTCATCTACATCTCTCCATTCTCCTTCCAAGTTTCAAGCTTATAACGCCATCTCATGTTACTCATTGCATAAAGTGATTGCATTTTACTGTAACTGCAGGTGCTATGGGCCAGGTAGTTGCCCTTCAAAACGAGTTGGGTGGTGTAGAGAGTTGATAGACGAAGAAGCTGATCAGTTTGTGATGCACGGTTTCATCGATCCAAATCCAGAAAGGCCCTGGCTTGCCCAAAGGATGGCAGTGAGGATACCGCATTCTGCCTAGCTTATAAACTGTAACATGATGTTCACTTGTTGTGTGATCAATACATGCCGCAGGCTAAGGGAAACTCGTACCGTTTGAGGTCCTTGGAACTTTAGTGGAAATAAAACGTAGCCAAATAGGTGGGTAGAAGTTGTTGCTTGCTGCACTACAGTAAAACAACATGAAGAAGAGTTTCACAAGGCATGTGTTTGTAGCTTGAGCAGATTCCCTCCTAGGATTTCACTCAAGGGTGCTGCCTAAATCTTGCCTCCGAACATCATGATGTATCATATAACTGGCTTCTTGGTTTTGGTAATGAGAAGTACGTTGTTTAATACTTAGAAACTTGCTTCCTGAAGTCTGCTGTCTGAGCAGCTAATGATCAGAGTGTTTGCTTTCTATCGGCAAAATGTTGCCGTTCCCTAGGCCTCTTGCAAAAGATTTTCAATTAAGATGGGAAATTTATTCACAGATTTGGATTTGAAGTGGTATTTCTCTTGCAATTGCTTTCAGTCTTATCGTTACCTTTCATCATTCATGACTATTGGGAGATTTTGTGGTAGTCGCAATCTTTCTGATCTCCCAAACCCCAATTAGGTAGTCCAATTTCCTGTGGGTCTGGCCTACATAATCCTCGCAACATTTCCTTTTCCAGATTTCGGAAGTCCAAACAAATTGACATTTGACAAGTGGACGAAACGACTTCTTCACTGTTATTATCTCTTGTTCACCTGAGAATGGAAAAAGAATGGGAAAGAAAGCAAAAGGAGAGACCAGAATAGGGGAAAGGCTGAGAAGCAGAGGAAAATGAGTGAAATTGCAGCAGCAGCAGCAGGTTCCTTCCTGTCTCCATTAAACAAGAAGGAGCAGAAGCAGTTGTATATTGGCAACTTTACCATCGTGGTAGGGAGGAAACAATGGCGGATGCAATCAAGATCATCAAGGCAGCATGTGACGAGACAGATATCAGTGCGACAGCCTCAAACATACTCTGCAACCATCACTACCTATATACCTCTTCATGAATCACCATCTCCTGCTGTACGTTACAGCATGACAGTTCATTCACCTCTTCTACTTGCTTTTCTTCTGTTGGCTATCTTTTCTTTATGTTTTCGTGGATGGGTTTAAATTGCAGGCTTCCTTTGATAGGTGGAATCTGGAGGACAAGCCGAGTGTTTTCCACGCTATGTTTCCTGACAAACAGAGAAGCCAACAGCTTAATGAGGTTGCTGTTTGATTCTTTCTGGATTTCTCTCTAATCCCCATGGAAATTGGGATAAAGTTGTAACCTTCTTTTGTTTGGTTGGTTGGCAGGAAGTGTGGAGAATCCAAATGCTGCCGATAAACTTCTTACTCCTGACAGTATGGCCAACAGTTGATGTGAGGCTGAAGTGCATAACTGCAGGGAGAGACTACCCACCACAAATCACAAAGGTTATGGAGTTCCAAATTGTAAGTGACAAACAAGTAATGCATGCATTTTGAACTGCTTTGTTATTCTGAACAAGCTCTAATTTCTCCATTCATGCAAATAAAAGTATTGTCTGAAAAGTATTGTCTGAAATCAAGTAAATTTTCTTAAAAATATTCAGTCAAGTAGTCATTCATCAAACTATTAGTTATTAGATTCGTACCTTACATTTTGTGTAACTCATAATTGAAAAGTGACATTTCAATAACTAGCTAAGATAAATAGTTCCCAAGCAAAATCTAATACACACAAACGTTTTATAAAAACACATTTGATGACAAAGAAATTGTATATTGATAGGAAAAATTTGTTGAACTAAGAGCTTTTTAGATATAGCTAGAGGTTTTTGTACACATATTTAGTAGAATTAGAAACTTTTAGAATAAGGACTATAAAATTGGGGATTTTCAATGATATATGACCAGTATAGTCTAGGGGTGGCAGTCGGTCGGTTTCGGTTTAACCGAAAACCGAAATCCCGGTTATCGGTTAAACCGAGCCACCCTGCACCCCTGCCGACCACCGACCGTGAGAATGGGTACGGTTAGCCGGCTAACCGACCGGCCGGTTTCGGTTTTAGGCTCGGTTAGCCGGCCAACCGGAAATTACCTTTAAAAAAAAAAATTAAAAAACAAAATCCTGCACCACTCATTAAAGTCCTATCCCATCGGCCCTCTCTCTCTCTCTCCCTACTCTCTCTCCCGAAAATTATTCTTCCTTTCCAGTTTCCAGAGAAAAACGAAAGCCTATCTCTCTCCCTACTCTCTCTGAAATCTCGATCCTCTTCTTCCTTTGCCTCCCCGAAATCGCCTCCCTCCTACCCTCACCTCTCTCGTTCTGCCCTCCTACCCTCACCTCTCTCTCTCCTTCCTTCCGCCACACAAACAACCTCTCTCGTTCTGTCCACCAGCGTCTCCGCCGCGCCGGCGCTCACCAGCATCTCCGCCGCGCCGGCGCTCACCGCGTCCACCAGGTCTCCGCCGCGCCCGAGCTCACCGCGTCCCGACGAGAACCGCCAGCGTCTCCGCCGATGTCGGAATCGACGACCAAGGAGGGCTCGGCGGAAGGGTTGAGCGGCGAAGAAGGGAGAAGAAGGGAGAAGAAATTGAAATCGCATGCAAAATCGAAGAAGGGAGAAGAAAATGAAATCGCATGCAAAATCGAAGAAGGGAGAAGAAAATGAAATCGAGTTTGAGAAGGGAGGTCGAGTTTGAGAAGGGAGGAGAAGGGGTCGTTTCTGGTTCAGAGGAAAGCGAAAGAGGGAGAAGGGAGGAGAAGGGGTCGTTTCTGGAATTCTGGTTCAAAGGAGTCGACTTAGGGTTGAGGGAGGAGGATTGAAGCGGGTCGTTTTGGGGAAAGGGAAGGGGTTGGTTAGCCGGTTAACCGCCGGTTTTCGACTCCGGTTAGTCGGCTAGCCGAACCCCTACCCTTCCCCACCGCCAACCGACCGTTGTAATTGGAGTCGGTTTTTCAGCTAGCCAAAAACCGATCGGTTCGGTTGAAACCGACCGGTTAGCCGCTAACCGGAAAATCGTCTGCCAGCCCTAGTATAGTCTAATTTATTTGTGTGTTTCATAATACTAAAACAATTAAATTCCATATGAATGGGACCCTAAATTCTATATCTACCCAAATTAAAGAAGTATGTACTATTTTAATTTATCCAAGTGGGGTCCTAGGACCCCATTCCCTTCCACCTCCCTTTGCCACTGTCTGAAATGCATGAAGTCTCTCAAAGTTGCTCCCTCCCTCGGCGAAAGAGGAGCATTCATGCTGAGATAGGAAGAGGTGCAACTAGAGGTGGCAAATGGATTGGACTCATTGATTGGTGGATTGGATTAGTGGACTCATGGATTGGATTAGATTTAATGGATTGGTGGATTAATGGATCAAATGGATTGGATTCATGGATTGGTGGATTGGATTAGTGGATTCATGGATTAAATGGATTAGTGGATCAAATGGATTGGTGGATTGATCCACAATCCAAATGATATCCAAGTCTTGGACCATTATCTAAACTAGAATCGATACCCGTGGCTACGCCACAGGGACTAAAGTCGTAGTAGCATAATCTTCTGGTAGGTCATATGACTACAATCAGGATCGTATTATTAGCATGATTTCAAGGTAGTGAAAGTGTGTTCTGGATACCTTTGTATCTCGAGTTCCGTAGTTAAGTAGCATGGTTCTTAACGTAGATATTTGCCAATGAACTACACATTTTAAAAGCAAAAGTAAAAAACAAACGCATTGTCAAGGAATTCTCATTATCGAACATTATCCCTATAGAATGACCACTAACTACTCATTGAAGCTTTTATCTCTAGTACCAAAATCTCGCAACTGCAGATAGCTAGAAAGGGCAATATTCCCTCAATCACAAATGGGAAATATTTGGTAATGGCTAATCCAAAAGATAATTGAACTCCCAACATATTAATCTAATCCACAATTAGGTCTTAACCATTCAATGACAAAATTAAGGAACTATAATAGAAAAAGGTAAAAGCAAAAGAAGAAAATGTCACAGTACCAAGAAGGTCCAGCAGTATCACCCAAAGGACAATCAATCTGCAGATTTAAATGTGCTCTCTTCTCTACACAAACCAAAAAATCAGATAGAGAGGAGGTTTCTTCTGCTTACATTATCAATGAGGGTGATATTCAGCCTGGACTCGGCCTCTTGGTAGGTCCACTGTATTTGAGACACTTTCTTTTCTACTACTTTGATAAGCAAGCTTTGGTAGTCATTACAATTTAGAACAACAATCATTGTAGGAAATGCAGCTCGAAGGTGAAGCATTTGCAGCTCAAGTTTCAAAGCTACCGCCTTGGTTAGCTCTTCCACGACCTATGCTTCCTCCTGGTCGTCCATAAGAACTGGAAACAAATGAAAGCAAACTTTTGCCAGGTCAAACAAATGAAAAACAGTCAACGAAACAAAGCAAATAAGAATAGCGGCCAGAATAGTGAGTAAAAGCTTCACAAACAAACGAACTTCATTGACCAAACAAATGACTGGTCAGAGAGGGTCCAATTCCTTCGAAAATAGACAGCAAGAGCTATTTACTGGGATCCAGTACCTAACCCTCCCTCTCCAAGCAGTGTGTACCAAACCTGGAAATAATGGTATACTTGAAAACTTTGAGCAAAACTACGAAACTAAGGAAGAAGATGAGAAGCAGAATTCTGAAAATCGAGTTCTAGATGAAGAGTGATCGGACATAAATCATGTATGTATCAAGTTTTCCCTGTGAGATTCGTCACCCAATAGTTGCAGTTCGACAATGGCTTCCTAAAAACCCTCGAAGATATAAAAAAGAATGCAGGACTGGAAAGCAGTTCAGCAATGGCTTCTGAGAAAAAAATTGTATCCAATTTCAGTAAATGGAGTAAGCAAGAACACATGTGCAACTCAGCCAACCCATAACTCAACTCACCTTCTGCAGAAAGATAATGTTGATGTTTAAGATTTGTGCATATGAACTTCAAAACCATCAAGCTCCTAGAAAGGCAGCTTTACAATGCTTCTCAAGCCACTATTCTACATAAATTTGAAACATATTGCTGCAAATAGTAGTACCTGCCACTGGCCACTTTTGTCGGTAATGCTTAAACCACTAAATTAGTTTACCGCCTTTTGTCTCAAACGTGATATTGCAGCAAGTTATGTTCATGACAGCATGAAGTTTAATGACGCATTTAGCCATCTTACCCCATTCTCTTGTCAATAATTTTTCATGAAGAAGTAAAGACATAGGGAACTACTATGGTGTAACAAAAACAAAAGGCAATAAGAAGGGAGGTGATAGTCAATAGCATATATTTAATTAAGAAACAGTCTAAAGCTTCATCAGAGGGAATACATTACAGCAGCATCCTTCTACATCAAGTTGAATGGAAGTTTTAGTTTGCATAAAGAAAATACATATGGACGTTTATTTCGCAAATAAAAAGTACAACATAAGGTTGGTAGTGGATCATTGAATGGCAAATCGCCAATTGGTAATGTGTTAACAAAAATCTAACCAATAATATGAATAGAGTAAGATCTAATCAGTGACATGAATGTAACAGTGCAAGTGAGATAGAAAAGGGACAAATCTGGGTTTACCTAAGCCATAGAGGTCTAGGAGTAGCTTCAAAGTCTGCATTGAGAGCTGGTTTCAAAAGAAAATCGTCCTTATGAACAGGTTTAAAGCCGCGACCAATCTTCCAAAAATATCTGCGGAGAACAGTTGCGTGAGTAAATAGTTTTTCTTTTTTATAAACTATGAGTAAACAGTTCTTGTCTGCTTAAGGCGGTATCATGGACTGTGAACTCGAAGCTGTCCAAGCAGAAATGTGAATCATCCTCGGTGGAGCAAACGAATGTAGTCTTCGTCGTGAAATCAAGGATGCGGTCATTAGAGTAGGAGGACCAGCGCCTCCTGGCCTCGCGCTGGGTAAAGAGCGAGATGAAGTAAACCCTCCCCACAGTGAGAACCTCATCGAGGTGGGGCGAGAGCTGCCGAGGCGCGCCGCGGCCTGAACCAGGACTCCCTTGACAGAGTGAAGAATAGTTTAACCATTAGAGGCATATACTTACACGCATAAGAAGAAAAACGGAAGACACTAACCAATTCGTCCGTCCAAAGTGTTGAGTGTTCATAGAAACTGGCAGGCCGGCTAGGTTCCAGCCATCCATGTGTGGAGAATACGCAGATCCTTGTCAGTCCAGCCTAATTTTGAGAGCAGAACATGATTTGCTGACGCCATTGCAGGGAGAAGAGGCACGCTGTAGGCGTAAGCGGCCGGTGGAAGCTTCCCGAGCGGCGACAGCGGCAGCGGCAGGATCGGGACTGGGAATGAGAATCGAGTGCAGAGGTGGACCAAGCAGGAAGACAGAAGCAAAATTGGAAGTGGGGCAAAGTATAATCCGGGTCGCAAAATGGCGTCAAGGTGTGGGAGAGAGGGTAGAAGGACAGTTAACTGGAAAAGGGAGGGCATAACAAAGCATGGGCGGTGGCGTGATTGGAACCGGCGCTCCATCAAAGGTGGCGTGTAGCAGATAGCATCACAAAGACACACGGTACCATCGAAAGGAGAAGGAAAGACAGGTCGTTTCGTCCGCGTACGGCAAGGATGGCTGCTTGATGGAGGCAGAGGTGGGGTGGGTGGTCGTAAAGAGGGGAGAACTATTGCCGAAGAGTCTCGGCAGAAGGGCTTCACCAATTGCCGCTAAACGACAGGAATTGAAACAGTGAAAATGGAGGAAAAGCGTAGCTAGCTTTTATATACTATATACTAAAAGAATTTTGAAAAGTTAAGGTCAACCTTTCAAGAGTGACATATGACAACCTTTTAAACAGAACATCTTCAAATATCATATTGGCCTTCTCCCCTAATCCCATCTCCTCTCCCAATTCCCAGAAGCTCGCTCGCCCCTTCCGCACCTCTCAGCTCAAGAAAGCTGAGCAAGTCGACCTGCGATCAAATTGATCTGCGGACCGCTGCTTATCCCGGCTCCGACCGGTGCTGGATGCCCGAAACAAGTTCGCGGAGGAATTTGGTTCATTAGGGATGATTTGGAAGTTCCAGCATCACCGTACTTGCCTGAGTATGCCAACGGTAGAGGTGATTTCCAATGGTGTCGAGCGGTTTCACAGCGTGATTACACAACTTTTCCAATATGTGAGCCAGCAAGAATTTTGCGGGTTTTCTAAACTTCTAGCTTTTGAGAACTAATCCAGCGTTAGTCATTGTGGTCGAGGTGATTTCCCTCTGGTTACGGCGCTTATCACTGGTTTGCCACGTTGTCGTCGCGGCGAGAATTGAGCGGTGAGAAAGCAAGGAACCATATCTATGGTTCTCATGCAAAGGCATGTCGCTCGTTCGTCCCCGCCATTCCTTCCGACTCTTTCCTCATAAGTAATTTCCATCCAAGAAAAATTCAGGTCGATGACAACTCTAGACCTCTGTCTCACTCTCCGGCTCAAACCAAAACAGAGAATACCTAGTAGCAATTTCGTATTGTTTCGATTGGGATTTCGTCGTCGGAAATCTCCCCAATGTTTAACTGTGGATTCCCCTGCATCACAATTCTTGTGGGTCCAGAGCTTGTCGAATTACTCAACTTGTCGTATGGGTAAGTCGGGATGGTAGTCCAGAGCTTGTCGTAGGTAGGATTGAAAGCGACGA